ATTTGTCATTTTCCTGAATTTTTCTTATTTTGCTTTGAACCCAAATATATGTTTTATTAGGATGGTAGAAAACTTGTGTCATATTATGATATTCCCTGCTGCCTTAATAATTACCTGCCTTGTGTATCTTACAAAATGACATAACCACTTCCTCTACATTTGTCATGCATATAGTATATTAAGGAGCTCTGGTGTTATAATGGTTTTATGCTGAGCTGCTAATTGCAAGGTCAACAGTTTGAAATTACAAGGTGCTGTGATGGAGAAAGATGAGGCTTATTATTCCCATGAGCAGGTAAAGTCTCAGAAATTTGCAGGGAAGTTCTACCCTCTCTTTTAGTCTATGAATCAGCAGCAACTCAATGGCAGTGAGGTTTTGTTGTTGTTGTTTTGTGCTCTCTGTTTGTTTTTTAATGGGAGAAAGCTGAGTTTTTCTACTCTCATAAAGATACAGTCTTTATGAGAAAAGACTTTATGGGATACCCACAGGGGCAGTTCTACCTTATTCTATAGGGTTGTCATGAGTTGGAATTGACTTGTGTCATTGATTTTGATTTTGGTTTGGGATAGTATATATAAAAAGGTAAATAAATAAAGCAACAACACAAAATTCACTTTTCAGGGTAGGAGAAATCCTCCCTCCTCCATTACATAATACATTTTTACTTGCCTTTGGATTGATTGATACATTTTAGTTGGCATTTATATTTAAAATGTTTATATTTGAGTTTTAAAACACTGTATTCTAGGGGCGTACAGAAGATAGAGAGATACCATGATCAAGAGGGATTTCCAAGGGCAAGGCTTATCCATTGCCCTGTGGATGTGCTTCCCCGTCACTTCTCCAGATGTCAGAAACTTGACTAGATAATCTGTGGTCGTGGGGGCCTGTGATCACACTCTTTCCTATGAAAAAGAACAAAAACAGCCCTTATCTGTGAGTTTTCCAGACTGTCGTGCATGTGTGTTGCTGGGATGCTGGTAGCTATGTCACCGATAGAGCAGAGTCACCAGAGTGAACAGATTTCAGCAGAGCTTCCAGGCTAAGAATTGACACTAAAAAGGAATTGGCTGTCCACAACAGCGGAATTAGCCACTGGGCAATGTATGGACAGAATTGAAACATTGTCAGATCCTGGAAACTTCACACAAAGAAACAGAACATTGCTGGGAATCGTGCCAGGGCACCTGCCCCGCAGGTAGGAAGACACTCAAAAGACAGTTGAAGAAGAGCGGCTTTCTTACAGCAGAGGTAGCTGGATGGGAGACTGTGGGAGGAAAGCCTTCCAGACATTCCCCCACTGATGGGTCACTACTCAAAATGAGAAGAAACATCTGAAAACAGTAGTCAGTCATCAGAACGTTGAATGTGTGAATCATGAATCTAGGAAAATTTGAAGTTGTAAAAACTGGTTTCAAACTACTAATCTTGTGGTAAACAGTCCAGTTTGTAACCACTTCTCCTCTAGGGCAGCATGATCCATGTTTGTTTCAACATGTAGAAACTTCCTTGATATTATACTGAGTGAAATAAGTCCTTCATCTGCTCTAATTTACATGAAATGACAAATACAGATAGGTACTTAGAAATTAATGGTTATCAGGCATTGTAGAGGAAGGAGAGGAAAAAGTTCTCTGTGGAGTAGTGCATTTGATACACAATGACAGGAAAATCAGCACCAATTAAAAACAATAGTTAGACATCCCTGGGAGGTGGTGTGTTATTGTTGAACTGCTAAACACAAGGTTGACAGTTCAAACTCAACAGCTGTTCCAGTGAAGATATGAGGTGAGGTTATCAGTTCCCATAAAAATTTAGTTTCAGAAACTCTATATAGGGTTTCTATGAGTCTGAATCGACTCTATTGCTAGCTTCAATAACAACATGCACCATTTCCTTGACCACTCATGAAGGAGTTCTAGAAGACATTTCAGTGAATTTCAGAATCCTGGGTCATGAGGGAAAAGAGAGGAGTGGTGTTGGGTATTCAGTAGGCCCGTAACCTCACAGTAGTTCAATTTATGAATAAAGAATGTTTA